AAGGTGAAAACAACAGAATAAGAGGAAGTGAGTGTGCAGAGAACAGATTTCTGATGCAATCTCAGCCATAGCCCGGCTCAGGCTGGGATACTCAGATACTCCATTTGGCAGAACTGAGAATGCCACGCAGTCCCACCCTTCGGTTGAGACGTGTGGTGGAGGGCGGGGCGATGGCAACTCTCGGTCAGAGGGGTAGGGCCAGCAGAGAGAGGGGATGAGGGGTAGAGACAGACATGTATGACTTCCTTCCTACATGGCACCCTCCCACACTGGGTCAGCTGCAGGGTCCCCACCACTGCTGGGTGGGATGGTCTTCTTGCACCATAATTCAGCTGCCATCCACCTGCTCTCCTAAAATCACCAAGGGAGGGACTTGCTCAGTCTTGGTCACAGATTATGGCTCCACCACTTCCTAATTACCTTCTTCTGTCCCTGCCTTCCTTCAATCATTTGATTTTATCTGAGTACCCTCCTACATCGGGCACTGTACAAGGCGCCTGGGACATGGGATATGTCAGACACCACCCCTTCTTCCAGATGGGGCTGGGGCTGAAGGAAGCGATGGATGTGAAGATGATACAGCAAAGTCTACAGTCTGTACAGGTGTGTGGGGTCACAACACAAAGTTCCCCGGGAGGAGAAAATGAAGCTTTTGTGAAGGTCAAGCTGGCGCTGAGCCTAGGGAGATGAAAAGACCCTCAGCGGTTGAAAAGGACGCTGCTGTGAAGGGAGAGGCAGAGGCTTGGAGACTGCTGGTACTTCAGTCTGGCTGGAGCCCAGGGATCGGGATGGGTGGGGTTCTACTGCGGTGGGGGCACTGAATAGAGAGGCAGGCAGCGACCAGATTGCTTAGAATGAAATTCAAGTTTGGAATTTAATTTATAGGGGGAAAGGAGCTGTGAAGGATTTCAAAATAAAGGATCTATTTATTGTTTCTTTTCTTAAAATTAAATGTAATTTACACATCATGAAATGATCATCTCTTACCAGCTTTGACACATGCATATCAAGTTTTGCCAATCCTAAAACTTTATGTAAGTGGAATCATTCATTATGTACTTTTGTGTGTGTCTGTCTCCTTTTGCTCAGTGTGCTCTGAGATTCACCCACACTGCATGCATCAGTAGTTCATTCCTGATTGCTAAGAAGTATTACCATACATTAAAATGGAAAACAGGGTGGTTACTGTAGCATTTTCATAGACAAGACCACTCTGCGGCTAGCTAAAGAAGAGACTGGCATGGAAGGCTAGATGGGGGCAGAGGAACCCCTTAGGATACTATAATTATAATTTAGATGGGAAATAACAAGGTTTCAACCAGAGCAGCAGCTGGGAGGATGCACCAGAGGGGAAAACAGGAGGTGTGTTAAGGCAGCAGAGGCTCCAAACCTTGGTCACTCATAAAAGAAGCAGTGAAGGTGGATGAGGGTGCCAATCCCCAGTGTTCAGAATGGAGCTTGTCTGGGGAGGAGCAATATGCTTGTGTGTTGCAGCCTAGCTCCTGCAGCACCAGAGGCCGCCAACAGCTGGATATCTGAGCCTGCAGCTCAGCAGGATGTCTGGGCGGGGGTGGGGGGTGGGGGGGATAGCAGAGGGGAGTTGGCAGTTTCTAAGAGGAAAGCCCTGGGAGTGATGAACTTGTCCAGGAAGGAGGTGTGGATGAGAAGAGAAACGGCTTGAGACATTGCCTGGCCAAGGAAGAGGGTCATGAAGGGGAAGTGGTGCACTCACAGAAGAAGTTGGAGAACCGGAAGGGAGGGGGAACTTCATGAAACCCAAGGGGAAGAAGCAGAGTAGGGACTGAGGGATAAAACATGGACAGTTCCACTTTGTTTAGCAACCAGGAGTTCGCTGGTGTCTTATCAGAGGAGTTGCCAGCGGACCCATGGGCAGAGACCAGCTCTCAGTGGTTCTCTGTGAAAGGAGGGGAGGGAAGAGAGAAAAGCAGAGACAACTCTTTAGAAGAGCTTGCCTCTGAAAGGAATAAAGGAGATCGTGGGGGAGCTACATAGGGGTGCATCTGAGAAAAACCTGAGCCTGTTCGTGAGCTGGGGAGCGAGCTGGAATGAGCTGGGTGAGAGCAGGGGGGAAAACACTGGAGGGCAGAAGATAAGAATCCAGCAAGGCCCTGCTTTCTGAATCTCAACAGCTTCGGAGCTAAAAAATAAAAAATAAAATAAAATCTATACTAATGATAGCCTAGGTGGCATCACACCCTCACGTCGTCACAAGATGGCTGTGCGCACAGTGGAGGTGGGGCCCAGTGGCTGCTCCATGTGGTGAGGCCTGGGGTTCCACAGCTCTGTGCAGTGTGGAGGAGGCGGGTCCCAGCGGAGGAAGCGGGTCGTGGCAGGGGAGGGCAGTTGTGGGCAATCGGGCCGCAGGGGCAGTTGTGGGCGATCAGGCCAGCAGGGGAGGGCAGTTGGGGGCGATTGGGCCAGGAGGGGAGCAGTTAGGGGGCGATCAGGCTGGCAGGCAGAAGTGGTTAAAGGCAATCAGGCAGGCAGGCAGGTGAGCGGTTAGGAACCAGGGGTCCTGGATTGTGAGATGGGCCCGCAGGGATGGGCCTAAACCGGCAGTCGGACACCCCCCGAGGGGTCCCAGATTGGAGAGGGTACAGGCCGGGCTGAGGGACACCCCACCCCCGTGCATGAAATTCAATAACAATAATAAGAAGAATAGTAACAATAATAAGAAGAAAGAAAGAAGAATATATGTGAAGCCACTGAGTGCCGTTCTGGGCCCATGGGAGACTTTCTGTAAATGCTCGGGTCTCTTCGTTTTGGTGCTCCTACACCTCCCTGGGGCTGAGCACTCACAGCAGACCTGTGCATACTCACCCAGACACCCAGGTCTGAACCCCCCAGCTGCTCTGAACCCTTCGTCTCCCTCCCAGGGAAAGGTACATACATGTTAAATACCAGGGCGATGACGTAGTCTGGCGAGACGGTCACCTTCCAGTCGCACTCCTTGCCCGGCGGGTAGGGCTCTGGGTAATTTGGAGACAGGATGACTCCCGAGGGTCCCGTCAAGTCTCCCCCACAGGGAGCTGAGGAGAGAAGACAAGGGTAAGACGCCCCCTTCACCAGGTCCGATTCAATGGGTGTTTGTAGTCACAGAAGAGGAAGGATTGAGTCTGATACACCTGAGTTGACACCTGGCTCTGGAGGCCAAGGGGAGGGTGGAGTGTAAAGGGTCCGAGGTTTCCCCTGGAAGGGATGGAATGTTTTGGAACTAGAGGCGGTGGTTACGCAACACTGCGAATGCACTAAATGCCACGGAGCCATTCATTTCTCAATGGCTAATTTCCCTTGAAGGAATGACTCAAAAACAAAATCCGTGACTCTGCCCGCTCCTGGCTGTATGACGTCAGAGAACTGACCTAACCTCCCTGGACCTCAGTGTCTTTCTATTGCAAAAAGAGACAATACTGCCTTCATGGGGTGGCTGCAAAGATTTTGATGTCGGAAAGCATCTGGCATACCATAAGCAGCCAGTACCTGGAGCCATCATGCGTCTTACAGACCCAACACCTGCTCTCTGCTCGCTGCCTCACATCCACTTTCTAGGCGAGGCGGGCACTGTGCGTATTTACCGAGAGTCCTGGTGCAGTTGGTCAGGAGTGGCAAACATTACCATATTCACCTGCCAAGCCCACCAGCCTCCTACACTGCCAGTGCTCTTGGCACCTGCTTGGGGCTGCAGATCCCGTCCAATTTTCCAAAAGACCTTCTCCAAGAGAACATGTACGCCTCAGTCGTATGGAGATACTACAAATCCCCATCAGTCCACGGTGGTCTCCCTCCTGAGATGACAGGCCTTCCCAGCTGGCAGGAGAGGGAAGGTGGCCAGCGATACAGCAGGCTGCTCACCCAGAGTCCCCCTGGCCCTTCCCAGATCCTGAGCCAGGTTCTGCACTAGTTGGCCGGGCTATTGCCCTGCAGCATGAGGGTTTGGTGAAGTGGAGGCCGGGAAGTGTATGGAGTCATTAACAGGAAAAGATGGCCAAGACTATAACTGTGGCTTACGATGCACCATCGGAGATTGGCAGCGAAGCAGGCAAATCGTGAGCCCACAGGAGCATGGAGAGTCATGCAAGAGGAAGCCAGAAAATCCAAGACTGGACATGGGGTGGGAGCCAAGGCTGTATCCAAGGCTGAACTGAACAGCAGCCGCTGGCCTGTCGCAGAGATGAGCAATATTTATTGCCTCGTGGTGCAGCTTTTACTCAGAGCAATGCTTAAAGGGCTGGAGCAACCCTCCACAGGGTCTCTTTAAAAATGGTAGGTCTTCAAGCCAGGCCATAAAAGTCTAACATGGTTGAACAGCAAACCTGAGTGGTCATGAGTAGTGTGTTTTTTTCCATGGGAAATATATCTCAAACACCAACTTGAGTACCAGAAACACTCAAGTGGGCACCTATTAAATGTCAGGCATGAGCTATAGCATTTTGGCTGCCTTATCTCATTTATGTCCCATAGAAACTCAGTGAGCTATGGACTATCCTTCCTGAGTTAGAAAGGAGGAACCGAGGCTCAGAGCTTAAGTCACTCGCCCAGAGTCACTGAGACTCAAACCCACGCGTGTCTGGCTCCAGAGTCCATCAACTGGCTCTACCACCTCGGAACTGCTGATGGCAGTGGGAGAAGAGAGGGGCGTCCCTCCCCACGGGCGGGCAGGCACAGGCCCCAGGAACAAGAGCTTCTGTGAGTGAGGATGCTTCCTGAGTCAGGTCTGCCTTGTATCTCCTGCGCTTCCTCTCCACTGAGCCTTCTCTAGAGAAGAGGGTTAGATGAACGGGACAGACCAGAGTAAAACTGCATTGAACAAGGCAAGACCACACTGTCCTGTTCACAGAGAGTGGCCCTACCCAGAAGCACAGCGTGACGCAGCCAGTGAGAGGGGAACACTCTTGTCATGCCAGCTGCCCAGCTCCCTGGGGGATCTTCCCAAGGGGGCACAATGATGCCTCCGTTCGGGCAAGGGCTGTTAGGCCCGGCCTTCCTTCGCAGCTCAGGAGTGTCTTTAAGTTTGCCTCAGATGGGGTGAATCTAGGCATTTCTGAAACTGCCTGTTTTTCTTCGGCTAACCCCTGAATTCGGCAGACCATTCCAGGAGGGCTGAGAGGTGGGCAGGCTGTACTGAGGGGGGAGAGCTGTGACAAAGGCCATCAATTTTGAAGTGACACGGTCCTGGGTTCAAATTTTGACTATGCCACTTATTAACTGTGAGTTTGGGCACGTTATCATACCTCTCTGAACCCCCATTTCCTGGTCTACAAAACAAACTGAAAAGAATGATGATGGTAATGGCTTCTACTGTATGCCGTGGTTACCACGAGCTTTACAGCATTATCTTATTTAATCCTCAAAATGACCCTGTGAGGTAGGTACTTTTACTCTCCCCATTTCAGGGAGGAAAACGAGGCACAGGAGATGAAGAATTTATCCAAGGCCACACAGCTTGTGGTGAAGTTGGACAGAACCTGGGTAGCTGGAACCCAGAACCTGAGTCCACATGATGATTCTATTTGCGATCACGTGGCTACAATGTCCAGCCCAGTGCCTATCATGGGGATGACTCTCAACAAATACTTGTTTTCTTTTGTGGTTTCCTCCCTGTAATGAAGGGATGCCACGGTCAGACAGGCCGATCCTGAAGGACGGCCAAGGGAGCTGAAAATTAGGGGCTTGTCACTGGGATGGCCAGGCTGTTTGAGAGAGAGAGGCAAAGACTTTCACTGTGTTGCCTAAGATGTTTGTCTCTCTCTCTCCTTCTTTCCTGTTCCTCTCTCCCTCCAAGCTCCCTCCTCCTCCCAGTCTCCAGTTGCTATGCTAGGGAGCAGGATTATTCCAGCCCAACCCCTACAAGCTGCATGACCTTGGACATGTCTCAGAGCCTCCAATTTGTCCTCCGTCCAATGGGGAGATTTTAAGACTAAGGGCAGATCCGGAGAACCAACACCCAGGTGACCAACAGTGACCTTGGGAGGAGGAGGAGCAGGGTTCCTTCCTTCACACCCAAGCCTGGGGGTGTCCTTCTAGAGCTTTGGGTAATGGGAGGGTCATTTCAGAACCTGCTGACCTACCACCCAACGTAACCACTGTCCCCTTCCAACCTATACATCCTGGGCCAGGAGAAAAGGGGCAGACACACCTGGCTTAGGAACCTTTGGGACCATTTTATAGAGTGAAGAATGTGGTGTCTGTGTGTGTATGTGCGCGTGTGCACACACATGCACATGTGCGTGAAAAGCAAACTTTAGGTTTTCTGCAACTTTGGGCTGTTCTGAGTCTCCTGGCCAGACTCAAGGTGCAGCTGCCACGTATGTGGACAGGGGGTCTGGAGCCCCCACGTGCTGGGGCCAGAGGGCAGGGCTTGCGCTGTGCTGCTCTGTACCGATGCATGTTGGCGGGCTGGGCTGCCAGAAGAATCTGTTCTCGATCTTCACGCAGCTGATCTCTGCGCTGCCCTGCAGGGCGTAGCCAGGGTCACACTGGAATACCGTGGAGTCACCAGCTTCCCAACTGTCACCACTCCGGCTCCCGTTCTGTGGGACCCCAGGGTCATTGCAGGACGTGGCTGTGGACACTGGGACAAGAAAACAGAAGAGGAGGTGGAGTTGCCTAGGTGTCAGCCACACGAGGATCCCAGTGCACCCCCCTCACTGGCATCACCATGTCCATCAGCCGGGCCCCTGTGTGATCTCCGACACCTCCCAATAGAGCCACCATCTCCGTTCTCACCCCCATTACTTCCGCTCCCTCTGCCACTGCCACTGCCACCCATTCTCCCAACATCTTCACCATCCCTGTCATCCCGTCCTGAGAAACTGAGTTGAGTATGATGGCGCTGCTATGATTGTAGAACTGAGTTCAGCTTGATTTACCGATACGAGACTGTTTCAGAGCTAAGCTTTGCAATCTTGTCTAATGTAGGTAACATGATCTGTATAAGGGAGTGACAAGATAATTAAGTATAAACTCCAAATTCAATCAGCAGGGGCTGCAAAGGAGTCCCGGGGTCGGCCGCCCGAGCGCTGAGCAGTGGCTGCGAAGATGCAGGGAATTACTCAGGCGGGTGAAACCCATATTCTCTCTTGTGTGGCAAACAACCAAAGACTCATCAGACTGGAACTAAAGATAAATCCAATGTTTGTAACAAAGCAGAGGTCAAAACAAGCATTAGTAACTGAGATGTATTAAAAATTCAAAAAACTCAGAAATTTGGGAGCTGGGTGTAGTCTTAATACCTAAGCTAGTGAAATGCAAAGCAGATGTTTTAAGTGAATACCCAATGAATGATGTAAGGGAGGAATAAGTGAAAAAAACGAATGAGTGAGTAAATGAATGAAGCATGAGAAAGTGCACCAAAGGAAATGGTGTACACGAAAGTCCGGGGAAAGGATTCTGAGGCAGCTGCAACAAGCCAGCTGTTGCCACAGTTCCCACTATGTCACCGTTCACAGACGGTGGACCCGGGGACAAGAGGTTTTGAAGGCCACAGGATCAATAACATTCATTTATTTGGAGGGTCAGTTTTTCTTTAAAATTTTGGGGAAAATAACTTTTATACTAAAACATGTGAATTTATTATGGAGTAGGATGTAAAATTCATATTCGTTTTTAAGCAAAACCATGAAGCTGCAAAGAGATTTTTGCTTCCTACACCCTCCGGATCTTCTGAAAATAGCCATCTACTCCCTTCTATTAGGTGACTTCAGTGGAAAAGTCCAAGAAGCGCCAGCCCAGGGCAACAGTACACACTCATATCACTAAGTGTAAGACCTAGGCTTGTGTGGAGAGTCTGGAGTTACAGTATCCAACACCTGACACCCAGCGACGCCTTAGACAGTATACAGCAAACTAGGCCTGCAGCCCGAGCTGGCTCTGTGCCTGTTCTTGTCAATGAAGTTTAATTGGAACACAGGTATGCTCATTTGCTGACATATTGTCTATGTGCTAGAATGGCAGAGCGGCATTGTTATGTCATATGGCCCACAGAGCCTGACATATTTACTATCTGGTTCATTACAGAAAAAGTTTGACTACTGGTATATGTTACCCTATCTGAAGCCCTCCCCTGTTCAGATCACATTTTAAAACCTATTCTTCACTTGTGTTCAGTTTTAATTATTAACAGCATTGGTGATCTTCTATCACTGTGCTTCAGACGTAACTGTAAAATCTTCTTCCAACACAGCAGGCACAATCCCCTTCCCTACTTGCCCCAGGGCCGTTGCACAGGCTGGTCCTTCTGCCAGGAATGATCTTGCCATAGATCCTATGCCAGCTCCATCCTGTCATCCAGTTTTCAGCACCAATATCACCTCCTCAGACAGGTCTCTTTGATCCTCTTCTTCTGGGCTCATTCTTTACCCCCGCTTCCATCACTTTTATCACATTATCCCATTTTGTTCTTTTCATAGCACAATCTGTAAGAACCTGGCTAATTTATTTGTTTGCCTCTTAATTGTATACACGTGTGCATCTACCTCTATGGGAACAGAGACCTTGGCTGTTTTGCTTCCAACTGTATCCCCAGGGCCTAGAACAGTACCCAGCACACAGCAGTGCTCAGTAAAAACAGACTTGGCTTTCATCTCTGGCTTTCCAGGGCACTGTGCACATGTAAATGATTCCTTGGGGAAAAATAGCTCACTGTTCTGAGCATACTCAGAAAGATTATTTATATGGGAGGCAACAGCGTGCCATGATTAAGAGCCTGGATTTGGGAATCAGACACAGGGGCATTGATCCAGGCTGGATGACCTTGCATGAGAAACTTCTCGAGGCCTCAGAGCCCACATCTGCAACCTGAGGGTGTCTGTGAACACGGGAGGGAGAATGCCGTGGAGCCTGAAGTGGCGCCTGCTCAATAGATGGCAGTGATTATGCTCCTTCTCCTCTGTGCCCCTCACCTTTTGCTGTTCTCGCGTTCCCTTTCATGCTCCTGAATTTGAGCTGCTTGGCACAGCTTCTGGGAAAGGCTGGGCCCACGCGGTGCAGACAGGATGTTGGGTGTTACACAGTCATGTTTACTTACTAAAGCCGAGCGGGCACTAATCGCCCCTGGCATTTCTGTAAATCCCCTGTCAAACACACACTATAAAGCTAACATGGGCTGAGCCACTCTCTCTTCCCGAGAGTAGTCCTGATATTTGCTAACCAATGACAGTAACAGGGGAGGTAACCTTTCCCGAACCTCGGTTACACCCAGACCACTGGCCTTCCTGGAGTTCAGGCTGGCGAGCTTTGCCCACTCCCCTCTCTGCGGACCTAAGCAATGCCCAGGGTGGCTCGCCCAACTAAGGAAATCCTCGTGTGGGAGAAAACCCTCCTTGTACTCGTCCACGTCTCCGTGTGCCAACTGTGCAGGTGGCAGTGATTGAGCACCTGCTGCATGCGCACCCTGTGGAGGAGTCGGATGGTGTGAGGTGACCCCGAGCCCCGCAGAGCTCTCTGTAGGGTGGCAAGCAGGTGGCCAGCTCCACTGTAAAGCAGAGTATCTGGAACTGACAGTGTGCTGAAGACACAGAAGTAAAGTGCTGAAGGTGCCATCGTCTCCAGCGATGTATTCTGAATGGGGAGGTGAGGAAGAAGTGGCCTCTGAGATGAACCTTGAAGGAGGAAAGTGTATCGAGGAGCTGGGCAATGCACGAGAAGGCACTGGAGCTGCTGGGTGAAGGCACGGCTCACGAGACGCCCAGGGACTCTGTCCCACGTGGCGCCGCTGAGGACGCAGTGGAGGTCAGATAATGCAGATCCGTGGGGGAATTCATTGGTACAATTATGGGCTTTTTTTTTTTTAAAGCCATACTCATTGGTGTGGGCAGAGCCAGAGAAAATACATGTCTCGTTTAATTATTCATAATACTCCTTTTCCCAGAGAGTGTACTGAGCCGTCTCTTTAGCATTCTACCCTCTTCACTGCTGGGAGTCCCTTCGATTGCTTCTTCCAGCAATTTCCAAAGTTTGTATCACGAAATGCTAATCACTTGAGATGGCTTAGAAAAAAGTCATCCCCGGCCAAATATGTCTGGCAATTGTGGCCTACAGGCACCTCCTGAACCTATGTGCATTAGCACACCGGCAGTCCTGAGAGGTCCCAAAATACAGATAACCTCTTTAGATCGCCTCAACCTGAGGACCTTCCCAGCATCACTTGACCCTGCATTTAAAAAAAATATTTTTAAAAACTATATTTTTAATTGATTTCAAAGATGGGTAGAAACATCATTGATGAGAGAAAGTCACTGATCAGCTGCCTCCTGTATGGCACCTACTGGGGATCAAGCCCCCAACCCGGGCATGTGCCCTGACCTGGAATCAAACCATGACCTCCTGGTTCATAGGTTGACACTCAACCACTGAGCCACACTGGCCAGGTATGCAAACTTCTTTTTCCTGCAATACCAATAAATAATCCCTGGAACTCCAGGGAACAGATGCTGGGAAATGCTTATCTAAAGTGACTCCCTTGTTGTACCATGCTGGAACCCTAATCTCAGACTAGTTCAGTGCTATTCAGTGGCCCCCAGGGACTCTCTCCATGGATGAATGAATGCCATGATCAAGGAAGAAGATTCTCAATGAACCTTGCAAGGAGCTATTTCTCACTGGGCTGGAAGCCTGCATTAGTGCTAAATGGGCAAATTAATAAGTACAAAAGAACTCAATGCTGGAGACTCTCATCTGCCCACACCTTCATCTCTATGGAGGAGATGGATCAGAAGAGAGCTAGGCGCAGGGTCTACAGCTCCATTACAGCCCTACTGGTGCCAGGGATATACCCAACCACCCTTAGCTGATACCCCGCCTGGTGAGAGTGTGGAGGCAAAGCCACGGCACAGGTGCCATGCAGACTTGCTCCGGAATCACCATGGAAACCCCTCACACAGACAGACAGAGGAGTAAGGAGATGGTAATGAAGACAGCTGCTGTATAATAAACGCAAGCACCGACCGAGGCAGAGTCACTTGTGCAGGGAGATGAGTGACGGGAGAGGCACTTCAGAGGAGATGAGATGATGCATCACAGGCAGAGGCAGGGCCAATCATAGACATTATCTAATATTGGGACTTGACGTCTGAGCACTGCCCATCTTCCGCAGCTCTTTGTCATGCTCCTCCATAATTGGCTCCGGCGGTACATAATTAATTGAATTTAGATTGCTCACATTTAGCTGCCAGACCTTTACTAGACTAAGAACCGGAATGTGCGCCACGTCAGATCGGCTCTTCCATAACTGCACCCCAAACCACTCTCCACCTCCCTCCCCGGCTCCCGTGTTTCGGCCCCAGGAACGAGCCTCGCGTCTGAACCGGTTACCCTGCCTCTGCGCTGTGCATGTGCTCTTTACAGCCAGGGTACCTTTTCTTTCCTTTTCATCGAATGGGGGCCACAGAGGCTCCAAAATCCACGTCAGTGGCCAGACCAGCTCTATGTCATGGCCGACTATTCGCTGTTGGAAACACTGTCTTTTCTCCTGTAACTGCTACTCATCTTCAGGTCTGAGCTTGGGCATTATCTTTCCTGGATGCCCCAAGGTGAGCATCGTAGTTTACATATCTCCACGTGCTTATCAATTTGTACGTAAATGTCTACTAACCTGCCTGTGTCCCCCACTCCCCGCACTGAGTAAGTGCAGCGTGGATATCTGAACAAGCGCTAGTCTTGTACCAGGCACACAGCAGATGCTCAATAAGCATCTTTACATGAGTGGAGAGCTGGAGGGCCGGAGGGGCTCGAGGCAGCAGGACAGACAGAGAGGGGCCGGGGAAGGCTGGCACAGACCTGAGAACTGCACGGCAAAGCCCTGCTTGCTGGTGAAGAAGTCGGTGCTGAACTGCAGCACCACGGAGTTGAAGGTACTGTGCAGGTCCTTGGGCAGCGCCGAGCCGCTGAGCTCCTTCAGCAGGACCCCGCTCTCCACGGGCCCGTCCCAGATGCGCAGCACATCGTGGACCTCCTCTGTGTCGAACACCAGGAAGTGGAGCCTGAACGGGGAGAAGAGGCAGCGGTCAGGTGGGGCCCAGCCACTTCTGTCCGGGGCATCCGGTTAGGGAAGGTCAGAAACCTAAAAGGCTCGTAGGAAGGGAGAGAAGGCCGTGTCTGGCAGCATCCTCAGAATTCCCACCCAGCTTGCTCCTCCCACTGCAGTCATTAGTGATGGGGACAAGGGTGAGGGGTGTAGATTTTAAGCACTTTTTCTGTTAATTCTCACCAGAGGATATTTTTTCCACTGATTTTCAGAAAGAGTGGAAGGGAGGGAGGGAAGGAGAGAGAAAGGTTCATGTGAGAGACACATCAACTGGTTGCCTCCCATACATGGGCCAACAGGGGCTGGGAATGAACCTGCAACCGAGGTATGTGCCCTTGACCGAGAATCAAACCCACGGCTCTTCGGTGCGTGGCCTGATGCTGTAACCACTGAACAACACTGGCTAGGGTCAGCATCTTGTTTGTTATCATGAGCCTCATGTTGCCATTGTCAACCCCAACCTTCTCGGTTCTATACAACAGCTCCCAGAGCCACTCCTGAGTCCACACCCATATCATTCTAAGTTGTGCGGGGGATGCTGAGAAGGTAAGATAAAGGATATAGGTAAAAACAGACAATCAAATGCAGCAAGTTATTTTGTGTATATTGACAAACTGATTCTAAAGTTCAAATGGAGAGGTGAAAGACCTGGAACCGCCACACGATACTGAAGAAGAAGTTGGAGGACTGACGCAGCCTGATGTGAAGACTTAATATGAAGCTACAGCAATCAAGACAGTGTGGTATTGGTGAAACAACAAACAGATCAATGGAACAGAACAGAGAGCCCAGAAATAGACCCACACAAATATAGTCAATTGATCTTTGACAAAGGAGCAAAGGCAATACAATGGAGCAAAGGTAATTTCTTCAACAAATGCTTCTGGAACAACTGGACAGCCACATGCAGAAAAATAAATCTAGACACAGATCTTATACCCTTGACAAAAATAAATTAAAATGGACCACAGATCTGAATGTAAGCATAAAACGAAAACTCGTGGAAGATAACAGAGGGGAAAGCCTAGATGACCTCGGGTATGGTGTGACTTATTAGATACAACACCAAAGACATAACCGATGAAAAATGAACTGATAAGCTGGAAGGCATTAAAATTAAAAATTTATGCTCTGCAAAAGACAATGTCAAGGGAATAGGAAGACAAGCCACAGACTGCGAGAAAATCTGCAAAAGACACATCTGATAAAGGACTGTTATCTAAAATACACAAAGAAATCTTAAAACCCAACAATAAGAAAAACAAACATCCTGATTAAAAATGGATTAAAAGTCTTACCAGACACATCGCCAAAGAAGACATACAAATAGCAAACATATAAAAAGTTGCTCCACATCTATGTCGTCAGGGAACTACAAGTTAAAACAGCACCGAGATACCACTACACACCTATGTGAACGGCCACAATCTGAAACACGGGCACCCAGAGCTGGCGAGGATGAGAAACAGCAGGGGCTCTCGCTCATTGCTGGTGGGAATACGAAATGGCTCAGCCACTTGGGAAGACAGCTGGACAGTGTGTTACCAACCCAAACAGACAATTCAGCAATCACATTATGTATTGAAAGCCAATCACAAATGTATTGAAAGGTATGTCCGCACAGAAACCTGCACTTGGATGCTTATAATGTTGTATTCATAACTGCCAACCAAGATGTCCTACAGTAAGTGAATGAAAGAATAAGCCGTTGTACATCCAAAAAATGGAATACTATTTAGCACTAAAAAGAAATGAGCTATCAAGCCATGAAAAGGAAACTTAAATGCATATTGCCAAGTGAAAGAAGGTGTTCTGAAAAGGCTACACACTGTATGATTCCAACTATGACGCTCTGAAAAAGGCAAAACTATGGAGACAGTGAGAAGATCAGTGGTTGCCAGGGACTGGATGGGCAGGAGGGATGGATGGGTGGAGCACACAGGATTTTTAGGGAGGTGGAAATACTCTTATGATACTATAATGGTGAATCCGTTATTATACATTTGTCCTAATCTACAGAATGTACAACACCAAAAATAAATCCTAATGTAAACTATGGGCCTTGGGTGATAATGATGTGTCAATTTGGTTCATCAACTGTAATAAATGCCCCACTCTTGAGGGGGATGTTAGTGGGGAGGCTTACCTGTGTGAGGGCAGTGGGTTTCTGGGAAATCTCTGTGCCTTCCTCTCAATTTTTCTATGAACCGAAATCTGCTCTAAAAAATGAAGACTTAAAAAAAGGAGGTGCTAAAGAGCAGGGGTTGCTGTGGGTGCCTGAGACGCTGGCCCAGCTGTGGTGGGTGCAAGGGTACAAGGGTAAGCCTACACCTTGGTTTCCCAAGGGCAGAACGTGGGATATTAGCTACATACCAGCTAATCCCTGACAACCCAAGGAGGCTAGGCAGGGCTCTCCACGTGTGGTGTGCCCGCTGGCCACAGAGATCAGTAGGAACCCGAAATCTTCCAGAACAAAATGGTTCCGACTGCCAAAGCTGCCTTGGTTAAGAGCCCATGCAAATCTCTCTCTTCTAATCAATTTTACTTTGGAATCGTTGTAGACTTACATAAAAGTTGTGAAGATAATACAGAGAATTCCTATACACCCCTCACCTTTTCTTCCATTGTTAGCGTCTCACATTGCCCTGGTACATTTGTTACAACCGAGAAACCAACTGTGGATCAAGACTTTGAACTCGACTCCAGACTTTATTTGGATTTCCTGTTTGTCCACTGACATCCTTGTTCTATTCCAGGCTCCAATCCATTCATCACCATCTCCTTTTAAAAATATCTTTTAAATTATAAAAATTTCAAGATGTGCTCAAGGCAGAAAAAGGCAAACAATATACAGATGTATTCAATTTTTAAAAAGTCTCTTTCACACAAACCAACCTCCTTTTCCAGAGCTCTTTGCTTCCTCTTAGTTTTGGTACATGTTCTTCCAGACCTTTTTTTAATGTGCACAAACACATTTCCCCCGCAAATGGAAGCATATTTTACATGATGATTGTGCAACTTTCTTTCTTCACTGAATACAATATTATGGGCATATACATTAATTTTTTTTTCTGCAGAAAAGAACATTATTGTATTTCACTATGGCTTTAGCGTTGTATTTTATACTAGAGGCCCAGTGCATGAAATTCGTGCAATGGGCTTGGCCCTCGCAGCTGCGGCAGCTTGCCTCGGCCCTCGCAGCCCCAGCTTTGTCTGGAAGTTCACCCCGTCATTCAGCTGTTTGGTCTAATTAGCATATTACGCTATTATTATTATAGATAAGTCTGCAAGGAACACTGTCTTCATGTAGCTTTGCACATTTCTGTTAATATTTCAGTTGACTTGTAGAAATATTCTTTTTGGGGGAGAATGGGCATATATTTTTTAAATGCTGGAAAATATAGCTAAATCATTCTCTTGTGATTGTATCAATTTACATCCCCACTGAACAGTATATTTGTTATTAATATTTTCTCCTGGCATCTGGTATCTTTTTTCCTTTTAAATTTTGTTTTTATTTTGGGATAGAAGTTATTCACATTACATACACAACCATGTTAATCTTTCCCTTTAAGAATACTGGTCGTCACATTTCCCTCTTCTCCCCCAAATGGCTCAAAAGCAGAACTTTAATATTTTCCCAGAAGTTGTATAGCTTCATGTTTTGGAGGTTTATAGGTTCGTTATTTTTCCAAATGCACATTCAGTTGTCCCAACATCTATGTAAAGTTACCTCGTCCACATTTTGACTATGAAACGCTGTTTACTTCCTCCTTAGCATTTATTACAGCCAAGACTTCATTTATTCACGTTTGCTGCTCGTCTCCCCAGGTAGAAGGTAATTTTCACCAGTGCTGGACCAGCCTTGCTCACTATTGCAGCCCCAGTGCCTAGACGTGCCCAACACTCCGGACCGTACACTGGCTCCCTGGAGAGAAGACCCTCAGAACTGAACCACCCAGGTTCCTCCACGGGTGTGAAATGTCGCCTTGGCCGTGGGTCCAATTTTAGACTCTCCTCAGCTCCAGGGCTCCCTCCGCTGCCTATTGGGTTGTTGGTGATGCCGTGAACACAGCTGCTCAGCTTACTTTGGTTTTCATAGTCTCATAATCTGATACGGTTACAGGGCAAGTTTCCTTTTGTATTTTCTCTGCAAAATTTCCTAGCTAATTTCCCAAATGTATCCTTTCAGATGAACTTTACAGCGATCAAGTTCCAAAATATCCCACTGATATTTTATTTGGAAGTGAAGATATTTATTGATTAATTGTGGCAAACTGATATCTGTGTGTTACTGATTTTCTCCAGCCAGGAACACTGTAGAGGTCTTAACTTACTTAGGGTTTAGTTATGTACTCCGGTGGCTTTATGGTTTTCTTCTTTGCGACATTTCTTGGATATACTTTTTTGATACATATTTATTGTTGACTGTATGTGTGTGTGCTCCTTATTTTCAGCCACCAGTTAGTTCTACTAGGATTCAAGTGAGTCTCTCGGATTTCCTAGATGGTCCCTGTTATACTAGTAGATGTAGGTGGAGACTGCCGCGCACCAGAAGTTGTGTGGGTTTTCTCAGTGATTGTGTTCTCGTCCCTCTGGCAGCCTCCCCTCTGAGGGCTTCCGGCAGCGTGAAGACAGATGGGCTGCTCTTCAAGGTGTTTACGGGGAACAGGCTGGTGGACAGGCTCCACACGGGGGGTTTGTGGGGTGGTGGGGGGAGAGCTCCCAGGAAGCAGAGCAAACAAGAGCCCTGGCTGCTATCCTGGCGACCCCTTCCTCCCCTGTCTCCCTGCTGCCACTCCGTGCACTGAGGGGCAGACCAGGCGGTGAGCTGTGCGGTGCTGCTGCGATGTCAGAGGGAAAAGAGCTGTACTGAGAGAAGATAATGAAAATTAGCTAGAAGAGTTTGGGTGCTACCTTCTTTCAGTTACAGATGGACTAAAGTCCCTAAGGGTG